TGGGCTTTTGATTACATTTTCTTAGCTATAAATGTAATCGAATCGCTAGATTTATTTAAAATCACTTCTTTTAAGCATCCTTGATAAGTTAATTAACTCCTGATTAGGGGAGATAAAGCTACATTTTAGTTTGCATTTCAATTGATGTTGAATCTATCAATAAATTCAAATATTCTTATGATAATAATTATAAAATTTAAATTGAATAAATGGAATCCTCTCAAAATAATAGATCTAGTTAGTTTCCAATTTCACTTAGTTCTTAATAACAATAATCTCTTTAAAATTCTGGTTCTACCCTTGAAGACTAGAAATTTACAATATTTGTCAAAATGCTTGATGGAAGAACTAAAATTATTTTTGTTAGTGCTACCTGCAAAATTAGTTGTTTGAGGTCTAAAGTTTCACAAATATCAGGAAGATCAAATTATGAATCAATATTAAGATTTAATAATAAGTCGATTTTTGATGATTACTCTGATGAGCACACTTTGGAAGACTTTGGCATATTCAAAGAAGCAACTATAATTGATATGCTTCGATTCTGAGGCATGGGTTTTATAAGAGTGAAACTTTTTGACAATACAATGAGCATATTGAGTTAGTAAATATATAGAGATTAAAAATAGAGAGAAGTGAAAACATTCCATTTGTCCTGCAGGTCAACAGGACCAAAATAATGGAAAGATAATGACATTGGGGGCATTATTATATATGACTAATTTAAAAATTAGGATCTTAGAATATAGCCTGGTTATGTGTATGTGAGAAAAATTGATGAGATAAAGGAATATAAATCAGCTGAGGGGTAAATTCATGGAAATCTCTTGAAATCTTTACTAGGGATTGAACCTTCATAAGCCAATTTGCTATGCTCAGGATTCGGGAGAAAGTCTGGAGAAGATTGGAAATTTAATTCACTCACTCTAAACACGAAGGATAAGGAATTTTAAGACGATCGAAAAGAAATGAACTAAACAGAACAAGAATTGATAAAGAGAGCCCTTGCAAGATGGGAGAAAGGTGACAGATAAAATGTTCCAGTTTCCACAATAGTCTGTTTTTGCGTTATTTGCAAAAGACATAAGGAAGAATTTAATGATGCTGTTTATAGGTGCGATGGGAGGCATATTTACAATATATCAAAATTTTGCTAGAATTGTGGTAATTATCCTTATTAAGTTAAAATGAGGGATGAAGATGCCTTTGATTACTTTGCCATGAAATTTGATATGGCTGCTGGCACATAAATTAAAGGATAGAGGTCAAGATTAAACAATTTTTCTAATTAAGACTTTATCAAAGTAAATTAAATTTTTGTTTATATGATTAGCAAGTTAGACAATTAATAAAATAATCCTTGGAGGATGCATGCCAAGAAGAAATATGATTTCTACAAGAGTAAGCATCATTTCTCAGATATCTTCATGAATTTGACCATGAAATTATCACTGTTAATAATTTATCATCGAATCAGTACTATAATAAACTGCTAATTATTAATATTTGGCTTACCATTAAATAATGGTGTTTTATACGCTTAATCATAAAGCACTCTGTTATCATTCACATTTTATTAAAATATTTTTTAAATCTGAACATAAATAAAAGTTCTATTGAGTTAAAGCTTTTAATAATATCTATACAATCTATTTATTTATCAGTATTTTATCAATTTAAATCAAATAATAAGAGCATGGGGTTTTGGGGTTTTGGGGTTTTGGGG